ATTCCAGACCCTTCAGGGGCTAACTCCTGCCTACCTCACATCCTACTCCTTGTAGGCCAACAGTGTCAAATTCTTCTAACTACTCACAGTTTTGAGTATGGTGCACCTTTGTTCCCTAGAGCTCCTGTTAGCCCTTTCTTCTTTCTCCTAACCCCAAATGCCCTTTACAGCTCAGATTACCTCCCTCAGGAAGCTCCTCCCAAAGTCCAGCAGATGAACATCGCCCTCCTCTGTGTCCCTCCCCTTCCCTGTCCCCACCTCAGTCAGAGCACAGTGAATATTTTTTTTTCTGCCGGAAGCCCCCCTCCCTGCAGCCTAGGGAAGCAGCAATGGTGCCCTATAGGAATTCAGTTTTTCAGTTCCTAGCACAGTGCTTGGTATAAAAGGGTACTTGAACGTTTATCACCTTAATAAGTTGAATGTGTGGCTGTCCAGTTAATCAGCTGATTATCACAATGTAGATGAGACAGTGGAATTTATTCCCCGAAAGATTAGATTTTCATACCATATCATTTATGTCTTCATATTTCCTCATCCTCATTCTTTTTCACCCTCTGAAGTAACTAGTAGAATGTGAGATGCATAGCTGGAACAAGTACTTTGTCCTTAGAGGGTTTGGTTTTTTTTGAGGGGTGGTATTTTCTTTTTAGCACTGGAGATAGAACCCAGGGCCTTTCCACCAAGTAACATCCCCAGCCCATTTTTTTATTTTGAGACAGTGTAAGACCAAGAGCCTTACTAACCGCTCCAAGGAGCTCAACAGCCGTGAGAATCACCCAAGAAGGAGCACACCAGACAAGTTGGAATGAAACAAACCTTTATTAGTCTGGCCAGACAGCACTGCCAGAGCCAAGTAGCTCAGAGAGGTGCTAGCTCAGGGGCTGAGGTCTTCTTATAAGGGGATACAGGGGGAGTTAACATTCAAAGCTTGCATTCAGGTGGCAAAGGTTAATGGTCTGCTGATTCGCACTGGTGGCCAGCTGTCACGTATTCAGCAGCAACACGTTGATGGTTAACAGATGCCTACAAGATGTTCTAAGATCTTAAAAGCATTTTGGGTTTAAGCAGTTTTCCCTGTTGAAGATAAGGGGAGGGTGAAACAACAGTCTCTGGGCATTAGCTGGAGTCACTTTAGCTCAGTCAGGTCTCACATCAGGGCCAAACTATGTTGCCCAAGCTGGGCTCAGACTTGCAATCCTCCTGCCTCAGCTTCACAGAGTGGTAGGGTTACAGGCATGCACCACCACCCTCAGTTTATCCTTAGGTTTTGAAGTAGACCTTTTGTCTACACAGATGCGACTGCCTCCTAGTAGGAGGAACTGTCTCCAAGACCTTCCTGGCTTAGTAAGTGTGGCAAAATCAGCTGTGCCTCCACTCCAGTGCATCGACCTAATGTTTTCCTTCGAATCCTTTCCTCTTACCAGAGTGAACTTAGTAGACCTTTGTGGACGAACCATTTTTTTCAGGCTAAGAAGCTCCCACCAACTGCTGTACAATGTCTGAAGGATTCTGGACTCTGAGCCAAAATTGATTGACCCCAAGTCATCCACTTGAGACCCTCTCCAAACATGTCCCTCCATCGATCCTCTGTTCCCAAAATGTACCAGCCCTTCTCTTCTAAACTCACTGAATGCAGGACCAAAACCATAACCTTTAGCCTCCCTTCTTAAATTTCCCTTTTTTAAATCTTACCTAACCCAAGGACCAGTAGGTGAAAGAGTCTCCCGCACACCACTCTCTGCCCTCGCCATCGTGGAGAAACTGTCTCGTCTAACAAAAATGACTTTGCAGGGATGTCTCCAAACCTTTCAAATATTTCAGCCTCTGGATTTCATGGCATTATACCACTGGGCTGATCTCTTTCCCAAGGCCTTCTCAGTCCTTTTTGCTAGCATCTCTTTTTTTCTTCACTTTTTCTCACCTTTTTCCTCTCTTTTCCCTCTAAACTTGGTCTTGAAAATCTCACCGCACACAACATTTTAAATTTATATATCCATTCCTAAAGTACAAACACTTCCAATCTCATTCTCTTCTGAAATAATTTGTAGATACCTCACCTATACATCAAAAACAAATTTTCCCACCAAAACAGCTCACCCTCCACACTTTTGTGTTTGTATTTGCATCCACTGTTGGGTTTCCATCCAGTGCCATCGATGCCTCATCTACAACCTTCCTTGGATTTGCCACTTTTCATACCATTGCCCACATCCTAGGCCTACATTACCACAACAGCCTGTAAAACAAAACAAAACCTTTCAGCTACTAAGTCATGGTTTAGATCTGAGGTGTTTCCCCAAAGCCTTGTGTTTGGAAGGTGCTTGGATCACAAGGTGCTATACTAATTAGTAGATTCGTCAACTGAGGAATCCATAGCTGAATGTGCTATTAGGAAGTGAGTCCTAGTAAGAGGCGATCATGACAGCATGACCAGGAAGGGTGTATCTCCCTCCCTACTTTCTCCATTCTCCCCCTGTGCCACCATGATGTGAGCAGTTTTCCTCCACTATGCCCCTCTGCCATGCCATTTCTTTCTTGGAGCCAGCCAACTATTATCTAAGCTATGAGCCAACATCAACCTCCCCTGTAAATTGTGGGTGATGAATATTGTGTCTCAGCAACAAGAAAGTAACTAAGAGATACTAAAAGTACATACCAATCCAAGACCTTTACATATCTTATTTGCTTCAGTCTTTATAAGTTTGTGTCATTCCAATGTCCATTTACAACATGAGAAAGTGAGGTTTATTCTCTCTAGAGATTAAGTGACCTTGTCATACCATGCTGTGAGGTTGTGACTCGACTCCAGACCCTCTAATGCCAGAGCCAACTGAACCACGTTGTCATCCCCAGGGCTCTCTAATTCCTCTTTCTTTTCTTCTTCAATGTATCCTCTGCATTGCCACTGCCACTGCCTTTAACAGGGCACCATGTTATCAGCAAGGAGGAAGGACACTGACAGTGGGTACTGCAGCATGAGCTTGCAAGTCTTAGGCTTGTCAATCTGCCCTCACCCGCTTCTCTAGCAACTGGTAACCTTGATTTCAGTATCACATTTGCCCTCAGAGGAAAGCTACTCCCCCCACCAGCCCCAATTCTATAGCCCTTGATATCGTGGCCAGCCGCCCCTTTCTCTTGTGAAAAGAATGAATTCAGACATTATGATACCACAGTGGCTTTTGCTGCTTTTTAAATCCTGAGTCTATCAAAACATTTTCACAACTTCCTCAATCTAATTAATCCTATTGCCTCTCATGTGCTAAGATTAATCTATACAGTCCACTTCCTTCTTTCTACCTTGTGGAGTTTAACTTCTCTTTTTCATTCATTTCTTCATGCTTTTCTTCTCCTAGAAGTGCCTCCAGAATGATGACTGCCTTTCCAAACTACCCTAATGTTAAAGCCTTGTGTATTTCTTCTGTAATCCCTTCTTTTACTATAACAGTCCTCTCCCTTCTCAGAATTCCTGTTAAACATTTAATCTGCTCCACATCCCTTAGCTATCACTCTAATTTTATTGTTTTACATCTACACAAGCAGGAAGGCAAGGGTCTTCGTACATTTTGTGCTGCTGTACCAGAATACTTGAGGCAGGGTCATCTAAGAGCAGAGATTATTCCTTATAGTTCTGGGAACTGGGAACTCCAAGGTCAAGTCAGGTCATGCTCTTGCTGTGTCATTTCATAATAGAAGGCAGAAGGATGAGAGTGTGTGAGAGAATGAGAAAGAGTGGGGAGGAAAGCAGGCCACACTCAGCCTTTCATGGGAACTCATCCCCCAGTTATAACCCCACTCCTGTCAACCACACTTCAAGGAAGACACTTATGACCCAATCTCCCCTCAAAGGTGCCACCTCATAGCACTATTGCGATGGGGATTAGTTTCCCGTGCAAAAGCTTCAGTGGAATCGTTCAGACTACAGCAGTGTATTAAAGTGAATCAAGAGAAAGTCTTCCTCAAACAAAACTTGTCTTACTCTTAAAAGACCAGCCTGCAACTCTATAAATGTCATTTATTTTGAAAAAAAATATTTAGACACTTGGTCCCTACATGCAATCGCTTAGTAATATACTATTAAATGTGACTCGTGTGTTAGCCTCATCTCCTAATGAAATTATACATTTCTAGAGAAAGGGACCATGTCTGTTATTTGCCTCCCCTGTGGCACTTATAATCTAATAAGCAAACAGCAACTGCTAGGTAAATGCTCTTTTTATTAACTCATTGATAATTTTCAACACAGGAGCTCTGTGCTCAACCGTTGATTCTTCTGATGTGTTTATCTGAGACAGAGACAAATTATTTTAAAACCAGGAAATCATTTCCCTCATTTTGTTTACATAAAATTAGCAAAGATTTTCCACATCTTTCAAATACAGTACTAAAAACCTTCTGTGCTGGCGCCATATTTTGAACACTGTAACTTGAGAGACATGCTTGAAAGAATTTAACATCTCAAACGACATCAAACAGGTCAATGGTAGCTGAGCTGCAGGCACTTCTACATTCTATGAATCATTGCAAATTTAGAAAAAGTATCTGAATTCTGTAACCCTGCTTGGTCACACTTCAGTTGTGCATTGCTATGTGAGCAGAACTGTTTGCTTTTCTTACCTCACTTTCATATATTGTCATAAATTGAAATTTCGAATTGTTCTGGTAAACACTTGGGCGCTGACTAGGTGGTAAGCCTTTTCTTTCCTGCCCCAAGTTAAGCCTCATTCACCACTACAAAACTCAGTGCTCAGAGCAGGTAGCTTAATGTTCTATCCAACAGACACAACTGTGGTGGTAGCAAAAATCAAGTTAATCCAGGGAGCCAATGTAGAGGGCTATTCATAAATGTTCATATACATGATGGCTCGAATTCAGAGTGCAGCTACAATGTAGGTTCAGAATCATTAATGAAAAAGAGTATACATAAGTACTGAAAAATGTGACTTGAATGATTTATCATCTTTGAAGAGTTTATGTAAACTAAGTACTTTTCTGTCCTACAGTGACCAAAAATGAAGAAGTTAAAATAATTATGGTGAAACACTACAGAATAGGTTTAGATGAAAAATATGAAGTAACAAAAAAGTGGTCTTTGAATGATCTGCAGATGATTGATGGAAAAGAAGCAGATACTGTAAGTGTTACATTTTCTAAGGGAGATATTGGATCAATATGCTGGGGATCTTTATGTTCAGCACCCTATTGCATATATTCTTGGCTGTACTAAGTGCTAAGGTGACACTATGTTTTTAAGTAGTATGGATTAATTTTCTGGGATTATCTGCTGCCTTTTTTGTTCTGCTTTTATGAGTTTAATTTTGAATTTTTCCTATTAAATTTGCAAGTATCTTTCTCAAGTTCTCTTAACAGATTAAACACAATCTACCTGGCAGTTCTGAAACTTTGAATGCCATTTTTCCAAACGTATGACCCTTCTACCAATACTCTCTCAATCCCAGTTTCTTCTGTAAATTTTAGAGATTTCTTCCTTTCCTTTGTCAGCAAACCCACTTCATCTGCCAGAAAGATCACGTTGCTTGAAATCCCTACAACTTTAGAGTTAAAAGGGGGAAAAGAGCAAGTGCTTTAGTCTTCCCCATTTGACCACTTAACACGTAGCTTTCTCTTTCTGTCCTTGAACTCTTCTGTTGATAAAGAGCTCATTACTCCCAGCCCTTGAGCTTCAAGTGTCCATGCCGCTTAATTAAGTACTGATTCTTGAGGCTTAGACTGCTCAAGCACCCCAACATTTTATCCCACTCTCATATTTCCCACTGGGAAAAGTCCTACATATGACACCATACCCCTATGCACCCATTCATTACGGATGTAAACAGTTGCAGCCATAACCACAGACTGCAGTTCTTGGATTACCCTATCTGCCTTCTGGATGGGAAGCTCCTTAAATAGTAGGGCCATGATATTTACTCTTTATCTTAGTTTTCTGCCTCATAGATGTTAGGCACTCAATAAATATTTGTGATGAGAACTTTATTGTATTTATTCTTAATGCTAATGTCTCATATTAATAGTTTGGCATATCAACTCTTCTAATATCTTGATTTTTTTATAGATCTATAATATGATACAGATTTAATGAGCAGAATATTTAAGACTTCATCCAAGATTTTATCACTAGGCAATTGATGGTATCATTACTAATGGTATTTCAGTGTGTTGCCTGCTAATATCCCACACTTAGTGAACTCTTTTTTTTTTTTTTTCTTGGTACCGGGGATTGAACTCTGGTCCTTGCGCTTGCAAGGCAGGCCACCAAACCGCTGAGCTAAATCCCTGGCCCCTTAGTGAACTCTTAAGAGGTGCCTGGAAACAAACTAAGCTCCCTCCATATTTAATTTTAGATAATTATGATAAGATTCATACATTAGATTCTACTACTCCTATTTTACAGATGAAGGAAATGAGACTTAAAGAGAGACTACCTGAATGGCTCAAAGTCACATAACTATTAGGGCCAGGGATTTAGCTCAGTGGTTCTGCTGCCCGCCTTGCAAGTGCATGGTCCCAAGTTTGATCCCCTGTACTACTGAGTGGCAAATGTAGACCTTACCCAGAAATGTATTAATTAGTCTTTAGATTACTTACTTAAGCCTTATAAGTTCATATATTTATTCATCTCTTTGTTTAGTCATTTATTAAGGATTTATATTATAAATTTTATAATATTCCCGGGCTCTGAGGATAAAATAGAGAATTAGCCCTAAGTACTTCATTCTGCCTTAATTTATGAATTAATCATCTATTATAAATATCTAAAATTTATCCTATACTGAAATAAGTATGTTTTCAGCTATTGTTTGACTAATAACTAGGATTCTACTTTTAAAACTTAGCGTGTTGACAGGACTCTTTGGTGAATGAATGCTGGATTTCATTGTTTTGTTTCCTAAGTATTCACATAATAGTTTTCTGAAAGCATATTTAACTTAAATTTTACTTAGGAATTGGTTAAACATATTCTTGCATATCCATAAGATGGAAGAGGATTAACCATTACAAAAATGTGTTTCCAAAAGAATACCTCAAATATAATTGTTCAGCATTTAATAAGGTTTTTAAAATTCAGATGCATGTAAAACTTTACTGAACAGTATGCCAAATTTACATACTCTATCATGTTATTGAAATCTACATCTTAAATTTTAATAAAAATGCACATAGATGTATGTGTGCAACTATGTGCATAAATGAAACAAACAGTATGTTAATAATAATTATATGATAGTTACAAGTTATTATTTTCTTCTTTATACTTTTCTGTACTTTTCTATATACTGCCCAACTTCTGTGCCGCAAGGAATTATATTAACAATTCACATCAAATTTGCCAAAGTGTAGTTCAGGAATTGTCTTCACTCAGTTTTGCCCCCAGTGTGTTTTTTCTTCTTCTTCTTTTTCTTCTTCTTCTTTTTCTTCTTCTTTTTCTTCTTCTTCTTCTTCTTCTTCTTCTTCTTCTTCTTCTTCTTCTTCTTCTTCTTCTTCTTCTCCTCCTCCTCCTCCTCCTCCTCTTCTTCTTCTTCTTCTTCTTCTCTTTTCTCACATTTCTCAACTATTACTAATATGGCAATTATTTTCTATAATTTTGGCTGATGCCCAGAACATGTCCATCTCACCTGGCAACTTAGACTCATTCGAAGCAGTTAGCTGTGTTCTGTCTCTTTCTTACCTTCCTTGGCCTCTCAGGCTCAGCATTACTCATCCCTCCCCTTTCTGTTTGAAGATCATGGCCTTTAGTAAACTAAATATAAAAGAGAAGCTGAATGTTTTAATTTTTCTTTCCCCTTGAGACCTGTAATATAAAATTGCTACAAGAAAAACTATGCTATCAAAAAAGTAGTTATTTTAAAGATTTATTTTCTACAGATGAAGTAAAAATACCTCACTGTCTTGAGAATTTCTATTACTCTGTCTTGGAATTGAATCCTCAGGAGTCAGCATTTACTACATTTTTCTCAATTGCACTGATACAATTATAAATAGAGCAATTTCAAGCCAGAAAGTTGTCAACTAAAATGAAATGGAATTGAAATTGAAGTTAATTCATGAAGCAGAAATAAAAATGATGTGGTATCTGGAGGCAGGTAGAACGATGGGGCAAAAGATGGAGCTGGCTGGCTGGCATTTTGATTCTTTTCCTGGCTCTGCCAATAACTACAAATGCAGCCTGAATTTCACTTCTCTGAAAACTATTCCCCATCTGTAAGCCAGGGATTACTGAATAATATGTGAGATCCCCACTGTAGCTCTAGAAATCTATCAAAGAAAGAAAGAAGCAGGGAGAGAGATGGAGAAAGGAAGGAAGGGAAAAAAGTCTACGTGCAAGCATATTCAGCCTTCGATTATTACATGAAAGGAAAAGGTAAATCCTTTCTAAGGATCTCAAAGACATGAAGGAGATGTTCTACATGATGAAGAGCAAAAAACTGGGAGAGAAAAGTACACAAGGAATGTGTATTAATCAATCTGCAAAGGGAACTATAATTTATTACACTCCATACTAGGCAGTTTGTGTGATTAACCTCATGTAAGTTTCATAGCAACTCTATCTTAAATGGAAGGAAAAGTGATGGTTATCCAGTCATGGTGGTGCACACCTGTATTCCCAGCACTCAGAAGGCTGAGGCAGGAGGATCACTGCAAGTTCAAGGTCAACCTGGGCTACACAGTGAGTTCAAATCCAGCTGCACTGCAAAGCAAGACCCTGTCTCAAAAAAAGCAAAACAAAGCAACAACAAAAAAAGTGATGGTCAAATCAGACAAGTAAAGTAGTTGATAGCAAGTTATATTAGAGAATCAAAAATGATCATCTAACTTCAAGACATGTTCTTTTTCCTGCCTTTTGCAAGAATGTTCCTATTTGAAAATATATAAGTTGTTTGTATATAATGTTTACTTGCCACACGCTAATGAGTTAATACTCTTATGGGCTTTGGTCCCTCCGTGCTCCTTTGTCATTTAGAATAGTGTTTACCTCCGCTTCTTTTACCTAAGACTACTTCGGATCAGTCCAACACACATTTGCTGGGAACTCAGTAGTTACCATGGATAAACACCAGGAACACAAAGATAAATAATGCAGAATCTTTGCCCTCAAGGAGAGTTAGGAGTCTGGCAGATAGCCAGGGATTTAGCTCAGTGGTTCTGCCGCCTCGCACGTGCAAGCACCAGAGTTTGATCCCTGGTGTCTCCCCCAAAGAATAAACTCAGAAGAGTTAGGCAAATAATGAGTGTAAAAGCATTTTATAAACAAAAATGCATTTTGCACATTGTATAAATGCAAGGCTCATTATCAGCGTGGCTAATAACAGTAGCAATGGTAATTGTTTTAAGCTATAAGACATAGATTAGATATGATGTCTACTTTTCTTGAAAACACCTTCACTAGAAATATAGTAGTCTGATAGGAGGCAGTTGTAATTTGTCAGTTTCTGTCAAATGACCTAGTGGTCCTTAGACTATTAATGTCAAAGATAATACCTTGCTGTTAATTTTATTTTATTTCATTTTAGGCAGGGTCTCATTATGTAGCTCAAGCTGGTCTTAAACTGTCTCTGTAGCCCAGGCTAGCCTCAAAGTGACAGCAATCCTCCTGCCTCAGCCTCCTGAGTGCTGGGATTACACGTGTGGCTTGCTGTTGATTTAAAAGTCATCAAGTTGGTGATCTGTAGTATGCTAAAGGCTAATTAGCCATCTCGTATTTCCCCTACTCCTCTTTAGTGATAGCGTAAAGGACCCAACTCCTAGTAAAGGCAGGGAGAAATCTTTTCTCCCTTCCACAAGTCTGTAAGTGAATCTATTCTCTTCTACCATCCTTACTCATTCTCTGAAATTTACTGTATTGGGAAGAATTGATTACTCCATATTCTATGACCCATTTCATTTGTATAATTAAAAAGACATAGAAGCTTAAAAGTAATTTTTCTGTGGGGGGGGTGTGCTGGGGATTGAACATAGAGTCTTTATATTGAGATATGTCCCTAGACTCTTTATATTTTACTTCAAGAAAATGTCTCACTAAGTCATTAAGTTGCCCAGGCTGGGCTCGAACTTGCAATCTTCCTGCTTTCAGCCTCTCAGAGTGCGGGTATTACAAGCATGTTCCACCATGCCTGGTTTAATTCTTTTATTGCTTATTCTTTTAAAACAATTTTATTTGAAGCAGGTAGCTTTAAAAAAACTCGCTTGTAGGTTTCAGAAATATGTTTTACACTGATACTTTTCAGTCAAATAACATATCCAAGAGAATATGAAAGAATCCAGGGAATTACTTTCATGATTACAAATTAAATTGTTCTCTCTTTCTCTTCTAGGACAATCCCTTTTTTGATCTTCACTTCAAGAAAGTGTACAGTTTAGAAGCATATAGTTGTGCTTCTAAATATGCCTTTGCTCGAACTGTAAATAAGCTGAATCATGCCTATCTGAAGAAAGACTTACAGATTGTGAACTTTGATTCTACTTATATTAACGATGATTCTATTTGGTCCTCCAATAACAAAGATTGCTTGGTCCTCATGAGAATATGCTTTTATGCTTTCAATCTTGTGTGCTTGTCCCTATGTCCCTTGCCACTTTGAAGATATATTCTATATTCCTTCATCAGTGCCCTAGAAAAACTAGTTCACCAAGTAAATACTGATAGTCAAAAATTTTTCCCTTCATCAGTAGTAATTATTTATATGAAAATAAAGTGATACTTTGTGAATTGCAGTGAAATGTGTTTTAATGCTATCATTCAACACTTGAGACTTTTTGGTCAGTGTATTCCATGGTAATGTTAGAAGGAGTTGCATGGTCTTTACCAAATTAGTGTTCTACTAAAGAGCATCAAGTGCCTTAAAAGACCTAAATATAGGTAAAGATATCCTATGTTCATAGATAAGAAGACTTGATATTTTCAAGTACTACCTAAATCAATCTGCAGATTCAATTCATTAGCTATCAAAATTGTTATGCCTTTATTGCAGAAATGGAAAAAAATCAAGCCTCAAAATAAATATGGAATTTCAGGGAACTCTGAATAGCAGAAGAATCTTAGAAAAGTTGTACATAGTTAAAGGACTCACACTTTCTACTTCAAAATTCACTAAAAAGCTATTGTAATAAAGTGTAGATCTGACATAAGAATAGACAGAGATCCAAAGTATAAATAATTTAAAGAGTAAGAGAAAAGATAGGCAAGTAGAGAGACAGATCTTCGGTAAATGAAAAAGGGATCTTGAGATGGAAGGAGAGGCAGGGAAGAGAGGGGAAAGACAATGAAAAGAAGATATGTACATGTAACTACCTCCCACAGTGAATATCATTATTATATACTATAAACAAATAAATATTTTCTGTATATAAAAAAATAAATAATTTTAAAATAAATCTATGCATTGCTGGTTAATTGATTTTTTAAAATGATGTCAAGTCCATTCAAAAAGGAAAGAATGGTCTCTTTAATAGATAGTTCGGAGATAAGGTTAGCCACAACAATGAAGTTAGATTCCTACCTCATACCATATACAAAATCTAACTTAAATTGGACCAACAAGCTAAATATAAGAACAAAATGTAACAGTTAATCTTAAGGAATTTGGGTTTGATAGTGAATTCTTATAAAATCAAAGGCATGAAAAACAAAAAAATTGAATTGGACTCCATCAGAAACAAAAATGTGTTTGCATCAAATGACATTTTCGAGAAAATGAAAAATCTACAGAATGCAAGAACATATTTGTAATTCTATCTGAAAAGGGTTTAATATCCCGAATACATAGAGAACTCCTATAACTCAGTAACAAAAAGACAATCCAATTTAAAAAATGGCAAAGGACTTGACTAAATATTTCTACCAAGAAAATATTTAAATGATCAATAAGCACAGAAAATAAACTCATCATCATTAGTCATTACAGAATGCAAAGCAAAACCAGAAATGTGAAGTGATATGCCACTCCACTGCTACTAGGGTGACTATTTTTTATAAAAACCAGAAATGGAAAATAACAAGTGCCAGTAAGGCCATGGAAAAACAAGATCTCTCTTAATAGCCAGTGAGGATATAAAATGATGCAGGCATTGAGTAAAACAATCTGGCAGTGCTCCAGACCAACCCTGTGCATGAGAAATGGCCCCAAGACATGGTAAGGTCAAAGAAAAGAAGAAGACAGATGGAGGGCTGCACAGAGTACAATTTGTTAGCGACTTGCTGAGTATAGTCCTGGGTGGCAGTAAAAGTTATATCTCTGTGATTTGGGTTAAAAGGAGGGGCATATATAACAGGACAAAAGTGACTTTATCCAAGCTAGAAATATATCTGGTTTATCTCAAGCTAATATCAAATACTTCTGGCACTCTCCAGGTGTTAATAGCACCACAGTCCAGTCCAGGTCCAGCCATAAAGCTCCACATACTACTCTAATAGTTTTATTCACAGTGTGCTGGGAAACTATACAGGGAAAACCAACAGGATTACTCCCCAGTAGTCATGCTCAGGACAACTGCAGTCAGGACAAGCTGAACCCATATAAGCAGTTCCTCAAAAAGCTAAAGTTATCAAAAACCCACCAATTCACTCCTAGGTATCCAGAGGAATTCAAAAGACCCAAAGGAATAAAAAACAAGGACTCTAATAGATATTTGTACATTAGTGTTCATAGTAGGTTGACTTCCTGGACTGTTTATAGCATTATTTCCAATACTTAGACATTGGAACATGTAACCATCAACAAATAAATTAATAAAGTGTGGTATAGCCATACAGTGGAATATCATTTGGTCTTAAAAGAGTGAGGTTTTCATGTATGCCACAGTTTGGAACACTTTGAAAATATGGTAAGTTAAGAGGCCAGATACTAAGGGAAAAATATTTTTATGATGCCTAAAAGTTTTTATTAAGTTTATTCATACTTTTTAAGTGTACAGTACAGTTACATTCATCTTTGGGATCTTGTACCTTTACATGAGGTATCGTAGTTCTTATTTTTTCCCCATACCCATGCCCTCCCTTCACTCACTCCACCCATCCCTATTTACAAAGACTGTTTCAATTTTTAAGGAAAAATATAGCATGATACCACTTATACTAAATTTCTGGAAGAGTCTAAATTTCAGAGGCAAAAGAGAAGTCAGCAGAGACCTGGAGGAGAAAAAATAGGGAGCTCTTAATAACTAATAAAACAATTCAATAATTATTTAAAATTAAAATTAAACTGATAATATTTTAATAATAATAAATTTTTAAACCAATTTAAAACTGAACAGTTTAATAACTGACCCATCGCTATATACAAACTGTTTCAATTTTTAAGGAAAAATATAGCATGATACCACTTATACTAAATTTCTGGAAGAGTCTAAATTTCAGAGGCAAAAGAGAAGTCAGCAGAGACCTGGAGGAGAAAAAATAGGGAGCTCTTAATAAAACT